CGGGCCGGGCTGGCGACGGCCTCAGCCGCGGGAAAGCGCCGTCCCCCGGGAGGGCGTCGGGCCAGTCAGTTTGTGCGCGGTTGGGCCCGAAGTTGGGTGTTGGAAGTGGAGGTTTGTGTGGCGCGGAGGACGGGGCGCCCTCGGTTCCGACGTGGGGTCGGGGCGGCCGCCGCGGGCAATTGCGGGTGCGGACGCCCGTGTGCGGGGCTGGGGCCCGGGGCCGGACGGCGACAGAGCTTTGGGGTGGTCGCCCTTGCCCTGGCGTTGGGTGCGGTGGAGTCTCCGGGGAGTCGCGGGCGACTTGAGATTGGGGGCCCCTCGGGGCTTCTGAGGGTGGCGGAGCTGCCGCTGAGGCTGTGGGGGTCTCAGGGATAAGGGGTGATGGGAGGACCCCCGCAGCCGCGCTGGGCGGAGTTGGGGCTCCCCCTGGGGTGTGCGGGGATCAACTTCAGCGTTATCTGGGGCTCACTGATGGGTGCCCCTTGTCACCGCGGGGTGTGGATGTTTCTGATGTCGTCTTGTGAGTTTGGGGTCCTTGGGTTCACTCAGGGAAGTTTCACCAGAGCTCCCCTTTCAGCGGCACTTCACGAGACAGAGATTTAGTTCTATTTAAAGAGGAAGTTTATTAGAAAGAGACAGGAGAGGAAAAGACACTTGCATGGGTACAAGCGGGCAAGAAGAGCTGCCTCAGAGGGACAGGTTTGGGGAGAGACCTGCAGGGTTGCAGGCAGGCGGTCTTAGGACAGCGGCCTCCCCTGAGGGAGGTCAGTGCAGAGAAGTACAGGCAGGTACAGGTCACGGGCAGGCAGGAGAGAGCAGAAGGAAAGAAGCACCTGCATAGGCACAGGTGGGCAGAGGAGCGGCTGCCTGGGGCTGGTGCAGAGACTGCCTGATACAGACACAATCCCTGGGAGGCGTCACTCCCTGGGAGCCTAGGTTTGTTGACTTTGTATAGAATCTGAGAGGACCCAGAGATTCCCTAGTGAGCTTCATGTCCATCTCCAGTCCTTATCTTCACCAGGGCACCAGGCCTCTGGGCTTTGGCGCCTGAGGACCTTGAGTTTATGGCTGTGTCAGTTGCCCCCTGGCCCCTGACCTGTCCCCTTCATGTGACTCAGTCTTTGCTGCCTCCCTCCCATTCCTTCCTCCATCATTCCCACCTGCCAAGCTGCAGAGCTGGCGCCCTGCCCAGCTACACCTCCACTTTGTCCTTTGCTAAGGGACATTGTACCAGTGTCCCCTTTTGGCCGGCCTGTACCTGTTCAAGGAATTGGCGGGGTTTCCATGGCTTCGGCTGCCTGAAATCAGCGTTTGTGAAAGCGGCTTGGAGTTTCCCGCCAGAAGGCCGAGGAGCCTGGGGCAGGTCTGGGACTGTACTGACCGGAAATGAGTGACTTCCTGTTGCACTTCAGGCCTCGGTGACTTACTCTTGTCTCGCTATCTGGAGTCCACTTTGCAACTGGAGGCCGGGCAGCCGGTCCTCACAGGCTGCCCACCCAGCCTGTGTGTGGTGTGCAGCCCATTGGGGGGCACATTGTGTGACACACGCTGTTTTACACGGTTACATCCCCTGCGTCACTTTCCCATTAAAACCCTCTGCTGCGGACCTGCAGGCCTTCTATTTCATATACACACACACGTACACATTGCTGTGTTTCGTATACATATGATCTGTCCAATATATATGTACATAGATGTGTGTTGATTGCATTTCCCTTCACGTCTTTCCTATTTGAACATACCTTATTATTTTTTTCAGGTTTATTTAGGCATATAAGAATTGGGATGTAGGGCCCTCCCTGGTGGCCAGTGGTTTAGTCCCAACACTATGACACTGTCTGCAGCCACAGCAGCACGAGTTCCGTCTCCTGCTACGGAGTGACCCAGAGCACCGCACACCTCCCCTGACCCACCCTCTGCTCCCCTCAGTGAATCTGCCTGTTCTTCTCCCCACTCTGTCTCTGATGAATCTGTTGACTTTCACACACTGTTGGCCTGTCCCCCAGTTATTGTGTAAATGAATTAAAAAGAAAAAAAAGCTTCAGTGTAGGCCAATAGTGCAGGGGTGAGAGGATCCATCAGACCGACTGGGGAGCAGATTAGGTGGATTCACTGAAATTTACTGCTGGGGGGAGCAGCAAGTGACAGGAGAGATCTGCCTTGCCCCGTGGGTCACCTCCCTGGCAGTTGATCAAGCTCAGGAAGCAATGGCTGCGGACAGTTTCATGGTGCTGAGACTTGATCCCCGCCAGATTTCTCCTACTGATCACTTCAGGTACTCTTTGACAGAGGGGACTTCAGAGCACTTCACCTTTATCTCCAACCTGACTTATTCTAGTTCTTTGCGCATTAAACCTACTAAAATACCGGCAATGATTTTATCACAAAGCTATAACATCTCACACTGGAGGCAGCAAGCACCCGAATCTCAGCTCTGAGGCCTGGGGAGCCCCGTGCTCTGGGACACGGAGTCACTGCCCCTGGCAGGGTCTGGGGCCATGGGCAGAGCTGGAGTGAGGGGCAGCCTCGGCCGGAGGGACTGTGCCGCTCATGGGGCTCTGCACCCACAGGTCCTGGCTCCCGGGAAGAACCCCAGGCCTGGGGTCAGCCTCTGAGCGAAGCCTGAGAGCTGGGGCAGCGGGCGGAGCGGACCCAGAGGACACACAGGGAGCAGCTGGACGTGATGGATGCGCAGGTAACGCGTGCTGGGCTTGTCCTCTGTCCCCTCTGCACATCCCTGTCATTCTGATTATTGAAAGGGCCCTAGAAAAGTAATACCATAGCCATGATGTCACTGTTTGGGCCAGGTGATCCCTGCCGGGAGGCAGCTGTCACTGTGGGATGTCCAGACCCCAGGTGGGTGAGTGTGGCTGTCATCGCTGTGCGTTTGTTTTCCTCATTCTCAGGATCCCCTCAGTGGAGGGCCTAGGATGTGGGGAGACGCCTGCTCGGGCCTCCATGGGCTTCTCAGTTGAGGTTGGGGGAGTTTCCACTTCTGACAGACTCTCAGCTTCGCCTCTTTGGCCATGCTTCTCCAGTCTGTGGCTTTCTGAGATGCGGGCAGCTGGCTCCCGCGTCTCGGGCCCAATCCTCTGGCTCCCGTCGGGTTCCTTCTCTGTGCGGCGTGCGCGGTGGCCGTTCCTTTAATTGCCCTTTATTTTTAGTGTTATCCAAGTGGCCCTTGCAAATGAGCCTGGAGCTTGGCCTGGTGCACTCCTCCAAATTCATGCGGCTGGGCGTGAGGCCGGGGCACACGGCTGTGCTCTGCCTGTTGGTATCTGTGTGTCAGCCGCCCCCCGGGTCCCTGGTTTCTGTCCACGGGCTGAGCACACTCACTCAGCCCACATTCCGGGCCCATCTGGATCTGCGCCTGTTCAGTGCAGACATGGTGGTCGTGCTGAGGACAGCATGCTTGTCTGTGAGCACACTTGTGAAGGGGCTAGCACCACCTCCCTAAGTTACAGAGGCTTGTGAAGAGGTGGATGACGCCTGAGTGAATCCAGGACCATAGGACAATTCAGATTCCATCCTCAGATGATTTCTCCCTGGGAAGCGAGTACAGAACATGTCAGGCTGCGTCCATGGCCTGGCGAGACCCCTCACGTGACCCTGTGCCATGACAGGACCTGCTGACCTTCGCCGACGTGGCTGTGAGCTTCACTGGGGAGGAGTGGCGTCTCCTGGCCCCCGCCCAGAAGGCCCTGTACCGGGAGGTGATGCAGGAGACCTACAGCCACCTGGTGTCCCTGGGTGAGGCCGGGCCCGGGGTCCTGTTCACCTGTGACGGCTCGGGGGTGGGTGCTGTTGGAGGAGGGTCTCCATCTCCTGGGTCTTGGGAAGGGTGTTCTCTTCCTCCTGGGAGAAAAGTCTTTACCCCGGGCGTGAGTGTTTGACATCAGGAAGTGTCTGTGCACATCATGTCCGGCTTGGGTACAGGGACCCGCGTCCCGTTCTGATGTGATAAGAGGACGAAGATGAAAGGTTGCTATTCCTCACAGACTCCAACCCCTCTCAGCCACCTCTGGTTGGGGTGAATGAGGAGATTTGAGGGCCTCAGCTGGTGGCTGCCAGCTGTGCACCCACCATTTTTAGAAGGAGGGACTCTTGGTGGGTTGCACAAGCAAGTAGGGGGAATCAGCACCCTGGTCACCCTCAGATGATGACCTCATCCACCTGGCTGCTTAGTAAAGCCTCCAGGAAACCCAGAGGACAGGGTTTGTGAATACTGGAATTGTGGAAGCCTGCCAGGTGCTGGTTGAGTGGGGTGTCCAGTTGGCGCAAATGCTCTGCCTTATCCTCAGCTTCCATTTGTCCTCTTCCTTTGGGGTGTTTCTGGCATATCCCTTCAAGTTTGACTGTTTCCTGGGGGGCCCTCCCTGATGGCTCTGTGGGTTAAAGCACAACACTGAGAAGCTGAAGCTTCTTCAGCATGAGTTTGATCCCCACCCCTGAGGTGACCCACATGGTGCGGCAGACCTCTCCTGACCCGCCCACTACTCCCCTCAGCAGCGTACTGGTCAATCCACCTGTTCTGCTCCCCACTCTGTCTCTGGTGAATCTTCTCACTACCCTTGCACCTCTGGCCTGTACCCCAGTTCTGTATGTACAAATAAATAAACCTTTAAAAAAAAAAAAAAGATTGTCATCTAGGAACAGGAATTTTCCTGAGTTCTGGAGGCCATGCCAGCAAATCCGTTGGAGCCGAGAGGGCATCATGGGAGCCTCTGGTCAGTCAGGAGCTTAGTAAATGCCTCTTTGAGTTTAGCATCTCAACTGGGGCGAGGGTGGGCTCAACCCCTCACCTGTGCCTTCCATTTCTTCCTCCAGGTGCTACTTGTCACGCTGAGGTTAACTTTAGCGCAAACCATGTCACTGTCCATTGTCACTGAATGCCTGGGTGTGCAAAAGCCCACATAGCAAGGGTTATGGCTAGAGCCCAGTCGGCTTCCCTGAGTTAATGTCAAAAAGTGTTTGGTCCTCACATATAACATCCTGTGCTCTCACACCTCACATCCCTCAGTGTATTTCCTTCTCTGATGCCTGGTGACAGGTTACCAAGAATGCCAGCCTGACATGCTCTCCAGGGTGGAAGGAGGTCTGCGGCCATCAACACTGGAAGTGGAAATGCACAGTTTCACCTGCTCAGGTGAGTGAGAGGCATCAGGGACAGTGATGAGACCGAGCCCTGAGGGCAGAGAACATGGAGTTGTTTCTTTTTAAGTTTACTTTTGCGTAGAAGAGCTGGGTGCAAACCAGAGAAATGCGAGCGTGAGAGGACACTACAAAGTGGGGAGTAGAACAGGTGGATCTATTGAAATCCACTGCTGAGGGGAGTAGCGGTGAAATAGGAGGGGTCGCCTGCCCCCTATAGGTCACTCCCTGGCCGGGAATTGAACTCATGCTGCAGTGGCCACAGACAGCTTCCTAATGCTGTGCCTGACCCTTTTACAACCAGGGAAGGGTGAAATCCAGTACCTTATTGACATTCACTTTTTGAGGCATCAGTAAAAAGCAACCTTTATGCTGGTTTTCAAAATGCCAAGGCATGAGGTGAAGGGATTCATTGTTATTTCTTTTCAGAAATCTCACAATTGGAAGATTATCTGCCACAACCATCACATCCTGGGAACGTGGAGAACAGAGCAGAACCAGACCATGGACACAATACATATGCAGATGCTCTTCAGCAAAGCAGCAATAGTTACTTGAGGAAAAGCCATGGTAGGTTTGATGTGTATACAGAAAGCATGAAAGTAAACTTAACTGTGCAGAGCAGGAGCTATGCAATACAGAAGGCCGCTAATAGCTGTGGAGGTGGGAAGCCCTTTGTTCATGCCCACCACAGAGACAGGAAGCCTGCAGTTTCCTATCGGGAAAGTCAAAACGGCAACTGTAGGAATTCACGACTCATCAAACATCGGAAAACTCAGAAAATAAAAAAGCCTCATGTATGCACAGAATGTGGAAAAGCCTTCAGAAGGAAATGTCTACTCAGCGACCACTACAATCTTCACACGGGAGAGAAGCCTCATGAGTGTGATGTGTGTGGGAAAGCCTTTCGCAGGAAGGCCATGCTGTCGGACCACCAGAAAACACACACTAGGGAAAAAACCTATGACTGTACTGACTGTGGCAAAATATTTCTCCACACAGCCGCGCTCAATATCCATCAAAAGACACATACAGGAGAGAAGCCATATAAATGCAGTGACTGTGGGAAAAGATTCAACCAGAAGGGCAATCTTGTTGTACATCAACGGATTCACACAGGAGAGAAACCTTATATATGCAGTGAATGTGGGGAAGGTTTTATCCAGAAGGCACGCCTCATAGCCCATGAGAGGTATCACACAGGAAGGACTCCATTTGTGTGCAGTGTTTGTGGAAAATACTTTTCTCAGAAGACAGGTCTCATTAACCATGAAAGACTTCACACAGGAGAGAAGCCCTATGAATGTGCGGAGTGTGGGAAAGCCTTCACTACACGGCAGAAACTCATAGTCCACCAGCGAAGCCCTACGGGACAGACTCCCTGTGTCTGCAGTGAGTGTGGCAAAGCTTTTGCCTACACAGCTTGTGTGGTGAATCACAGACGAATACATCGAGATAAATATGTGCGTTCACTCAAGGTGGAAGATCTCTCTGTTCAGAGCCCAGAATCCTTTTCTCAGCAGACAGATCTCATTAACCATGAAAGACTTCACACAGGAGAGAAGCCCTATGAATGCAAGGAGTGTGGGAAAGCCTTCACTACACGGCAGAGTGTCACTGTCCATCAAAGGGTTCACACAGGAGAGAGACCCTATGCCTGTAGCGAGTGCGGCAAGTCATACACTACAAAGTATACACTAAATGTTCATCGGAGTTCTCATACAGGAGAGAGACCTTACACGTGCAGTGAGTGTGGGAAAGCCTTCACTACCAAGTACCAGCTCATTGTGCACCAGCGGAGCCCCACAGGAGAGACTCCCTGTGTCTGCAGTGAGTGTGGCAAAGCCTTTGCCTACGCGGCTTGTGTGGCGCATCACAGGCGAATACACCGAGAGGCATATGTACACTTGATCAGGGGGGACAAAACCCTCACTGAGAGGCACCCCACATCCCAGACCAGTGCTGTACAGCGGGAAAGACACCCTGCCAAGCCAGTGCCGTCTGTGGCCCCTGAGCCATCCTTAGACATCCCTGGGCAACCGGCAGATGCCAGTGCGGGCCCGGTGGGCCAGCCTGTAAGCGGCTCCTCGGGAGACGACGGCACGTGTGCCTTGGGTGGACACCTCCCGGATGCAGTGAGTGTGGTGGTGCCTCCAGGGATCGACTATGTCTTAGTGTATGTCCCCGAAAACCAGTAGGGCAAAACTCAGGCCTTTGTGGGCAGGGGTGGCCAGAGTTGCTGGGGCTCAGTATGTGAAAAAATAAACTCAGAGAAATCGTGCAGGTGCAGGCCTGAGAGAGCCTTCCAGACTCACCCTGTGCCGCACCTGCGTGGGCACCGGCGACAGGTGATGTTGATCCAAACGGGTGCGTAGTCAGTCAGACCTGTCCCTGTGCAAAGGGAGTGTGCGTGGGTGGGGCCCTAGGTGAGGCATTGCCCAGGGGAGACCACCCATGTGGAGATTTGCTGAATGGAGAACCGCAGGCAGTTACTGCCCTGGGGCTGGAAGACTGTTCATGTCCACCCTGTTCTGAGAGTAAAGGGCCGGCTCAAGGGTAGACTCACCCTTCAGCGCCTAGAGGATTCTCTCCTGCAGAGAGACGTGGGAAGCCGCTGAGTTCGGTCAGCTCCTTCATTTTCCGCTCCTTCATTTTCCGAGTATCTCTCCAGTCCCCCTTCGTATCGGTCCTGCTCCACAGGGAGGATTCGGTGGGGACCAGAAGAGACCAGGCCACGGCCTGAGAGCAGAAGTGAAGCGGTTGGAAGATGGCTGCTGACCGCTGACACACCTGCTCGTCTAGGTGAATAGAGCGGGCCTTAGTTTGCAGCCTGAGGATACTATGGCCTGGGGTGGTTGGTGGGGACTGCGTCCCTCCCCCTTTACACAGGGAGGTTTTTAGCAAAACCCCAGAGATTTGGGGTTTTTGAAGGCCCTAGCTCCTGGTTCATGGAAAACTCCCCAGAGTCCTCACCTGACAGTGCGGTGAGGTCTCTGCGTGTCTTCTGGGATGGGTGAGCGCTGCCTTCACGGGGTCCCACTTCCTGACTGAGTCACCTCTCCAGAGGCACACCTGCTCAGGCATTGCTTTTGAGATGAAGTTTCATCTTTGGCTTTTGAGGGAAACACATACTGATTTCATGGGATATACAGAAAAATGGCTTCAAGGCTTAAGAAGACTCTCCTGTCCGGGGGGCTTATTTCTAGGTGAAGGGTTCCCCGTGAGGGACTTGAAGCAGCTGAAAATGACACGTTTTGTTCATTTTCATGTGTTTTGCCAAGTAGAGTACAGAAATAAAAACCCTTGTTTAATCTGTGGCTGTCTGAACATTGTAAACAGTAGCATTTCCTAAGGGTCACTGAGCCATATGACATGTAAGCACTGGTGTAACGAGTGTCTAAGCCAGGCAAGGGGCCAAGGCTGTAGCTACTGAGACGATTAAAGTTAGGTCTTGAGGCCAGCTGTCCTCTATCTGTCCTGAAAGGAATCTCTGCAAGCTTGGGTTACATGAAGGTTTATCAATGGACCAGATTTTATATGTTTCCTGGATAAATGAATGAGCAGATGGCCTCAGACGTCACCACTGATGAATTTGGCCTGACAAGGCAGTTCTTGACAACTCCTGGATGATTACAGCCTCAAGCCCAGAGTAGAACCTGGGCAGAGCAGAAATGACTACATCCTCCTCTAAGAGAGGAAGAAACCAGGGATGCCAGTGCGATCCCCACTGAGTACCCAGAGAAAGTTTTGTCCCTGGACCCGTCACCCTTGGGCCTGCCACCACTCCAGAGGATTCTGCTCCACTGAGAGCTGCTGGAGGGAGACATCCACCCCTTCGCTCCATGCTCGTTGTCTCATGGGAGTGCGCCCTGGCCTGTCGCTGTTCTGCTGTGTCATCACTGCCCCTCACCCGTCCTTGTGACCTGTTCAAGTCTTACTGGGGAAAGAACTGGAGACTGATGTGATGGCTGTGTCCATCTGAAGTCCTGGGTGGGTCCCTAATTCACCTCTTATCTTAGTTGTGCGCCATCTCTGCTTACACTCGGAGACATCGCATGAAGGGGCCATGTTGGCCAGTGGGAGTCACATGGTTGGAAGGAATGACAGAACAAGGAACCCGAAGTCGGGAAGTTGTACATTCTTTGTAAAAGTACACACCAGGAGTAGATAGCACTGTGATTAGTGCATGTCACTAGTCCCGTGCACACCCCAGAATTTTTGTGGATAGAGAGCATTTGGACCAGAATGGAGAACCCACCGTAGTTGCCAGACTTGGCAAGACCATTTTAGATTTTTTTATGCATGCAGAACTTGAGTATCAGACATGGAGCAGGGGAGCAGGAGAGATTCACCAGAGACAGTGGGGAGCAGGAAGGTGGCTATACTGAAATGCAGTGCTCAGTGGAACAGACTGGAGATGAGGTCACTCCCTGGCTGGCAGGGCATCAAACTCTTGCATGGCAGGCTGCCCATAGTTTGGCAGCAGTGTGTCCTTAACCCCTGCACCACCAGGGAGTTCCTATTTTTGATTTTCAATAGAGACTTCCCTTCCAGGTGATCTGTAAAGCAAAAGAATGCAAATTCCCAAGTCACCCAGAGCTGCTAAGCCAGTATCTCAGCACTGACTGCCAGGGCACTGGATTTCCAGTGAGAGGGCAGCACCCACTCACAGTGGAGGATGGCCATCATCAGTGCCGTCACTGCCCTCATGTATAGGTGTATGGCTCAAAGTGTTAAGGGGAGGGCCAGTACCTTAGTAAGGAAAGGGCCAGCTGGCCTGGCTGGAGGAGAGGGTTTGAAGGCTGCAGAAACCCCCTCCCTCATGGACCTCTGAAGAGCAGTGAGCAGGGTGTTGAGGATGAAAAGTTAGGAGCCCAGAAACACCTGTATGGCTGATGTCGGTTTTTTTGAGTTCGGGGTCCTCGGGTTCACTCGGGGAAGTTTCACCAGAGCTCCCCTTTCAGCGGCACTCGGCGAGATTCTCCACGAGACAGATTTAGTTATATTTAAAGAGGAAGTTTATTAGAAAGAGACGAGAGGAAAAGACACTTGCATGGGTGCAAGCGGGCAAGAAGAGCTGCCCCAAAGGGACAGGTTTGCGGAGAGAGACCTGCAAGGTTGCAGGCAGAGTGGCCTCCGCTGAGGGAGGTCAGTGCAGAGAAGTACAGGCAGGTACAGGTCACAGGCAGGCAGGAGGCTACTGCCCTGCACCAGGAGAGAGGAAAAGGAGAGAAGCACCTGCATAGGAACAGGTGGGCAGAGGAGCTGCTGCCCGGGGCCCTGGGAAGGGCTCACACTCCCTTACAGACACTCCCTGGGAAGGGCTCACTCCTGAGCCTAGGTTTGTTGACTCTGAATAGAATCGGAGAGGACCCAGAGATTCCCTAGTGAGCTTTATGTCCGTCATCATGTCCTTATCTTCACCTGGGCACCAGGCCTCTGGGCTTTGGCGCCTGAGGACCTTGAGTTTATGGCTGTGTCAGTTGCTGCTCTGGCCCTCCTACCTGTCCCCTTCATGTGACTCAGTCTCATGATGCCTCTCCTGCATTCCTCCATAATGGCCACCTGCTGTGCTCCTTCCTTCCAGCTTCCTAGACCCAGTGCAGTTATGGGGGAGCTGAAATAATGGAGGTGCAAGTGAAGGGAGAGGACACCAGTCCTGGGCTGCAGTGACCTCCTCCCTTGCCTCTCTTGACTTCCTATAGCATCTGCTTCCACACAGATTAAACATCTGCTTCCACACAGATTAAAACCTTATATAGGTTTTAGGGTCATATTCTAGAAAACTGATGTGTCTGATTCTGACTTATTCTAGTTCTTTGTGCATTAAACCTACTAAAATACCGGCAATGATTTTATCACAAAGCTATAACATCTCACACTGGAGGCAGCAAGCACCCGAATCTCAGCTCTGAGGCCTGGGGAGCCCCGTGCTCTGGGATATGGAGTCACTGCCCCTGGCAGGGTCTCAGGCCGTAGGCTGGAGCTGGAGTGAGGGGCAGCCTTGGCCATAGGGACTGTGCCGCTCATGGGGCTCTGCACCCACAGATCCTTGCTCCCGGCAAGAACCCTGGGCCTGTAGCTGTGTTACAACGGGCTAAGGGCCCGTGTCCTGGTCACACTGCACAAAAGAAAGCCTGTGTCTAGCATCTAATTAAAGCAGCGGCCGTGTGACAACTGTTCTCAGGGTTGCTTTGGATTTTGTCTGTGGACGGTCCGCTCCTAGTACCTGTTGAGTGTGACCAGATATGGGCAGTAACACAATGGCTACCTGTGTGACCATATACGGGCAACAGAACAAGGGCCGGGCCTTGCATCCAGGTGTACAGCGACACATCAGTTTTCTAGAATATGACCCTAAAACCTATATAAGAGACACTTTCCCCTAGAGCACTGCAGGGCACTAAACAGTACCCTGTTGGCAAGCCTGCCCTTTCCCCACTGATGGTTTATGCCAGTGCAAGTGACTGACTGCTGCGTCATCTGGAGTCCATTCTAGGGAGCCCCCGGTTAGCACTGCCTACGACCAGCTCCTGGCGCCAAACCTGTCCCCGCCTCCCGCGCAGGTGTTTGGCATCATGGCGGCGGTCGGGCCCCCAGCCGCGCGCCGACAGACTTTGCTCTCCTGCGGCTGCGCGGAAGCGCGGGGGGCGGGGCGTCAGCGCTGGGTCCTGTCCCCGCGTGTCCACGCAGGTATTTGGCGTCATGGCCCTCGCTGGGCCCCCCGCCGCGCGCCGACAGACTTTGCTCTCCTGCGGCTGCGCGGAAGCGCGGGGGGCGGGGCGTCAGCGCTGGGTCCTCCGCGCCGCCGTAGGCGCAGGCGGGGCCGGGCCGGGCTGGCGACGGCCGCAGCCGCGGGAAAGCGCCGTCCCCCGGGAGGGCGTCGGGCCAGTCAGTTTGTGCGCGGTTGGGCCCGAAGTTGGGTGTTGGAAGTGGAGGTTTGTGTGGCGCGGAGGACGGGGCGCCCCCCGACGTGGGGTCGGGGCAGTCGCGCGGCTTCAGAGCACTTCGCCTTTATCTCCAACCTGACTTACTCTAGTTCTTTGCGCATTAAACCTACTAAAATACCGGCAATGATTTTATCACAAAGCTATAACATCTCACACCGGAGGCAGCAAGCACCCGAATCTCAGCTCTGAGGCCTGGGGAGCCCCGTGCTCTGGGACACGGAGTCACTGCCCCTGGCAGGGTCTGGGGCCATGGGCGGAGCTGGAGTGAGGGGCAGCCTCGGCCGGAGGGACTGTGCCGCTCATGGGGCTCTGCACCCACAGGTCCTGGCTCCCGGGAAGAACCCCAGGCCTGGGGTCAGCCTCTGAGCGAAGCCTGAGAGCTGGGGCAGCGGGCGGAGCGGACCCAGAGGACACGCCGGGAGCAGCTCGTGCAGCGGGTCCCAGGCTGGACGTGATGGACGCGCAGGTGACATGTGCCGGGCTTGTCCTCTGTCCCCTCTGCACGTCCCTGTCATTCTTCTGATTATTGAAAGGGCCCTAGAAAAATAATACCGTAGCCACGATGTCACTGTTTGGGCCAGGTGATGCCTGCCGAAGTTACAGGGGCTTGTGAAGAGGTGCATGACGCGTGAGTGAATCCAGGACCACAGGACGATTCAGATTCCATCCTCAGTTAGATGATTTCTCCCTGGGAAGCGAGTGCAGAACGATTGTCCATGTGCAGGCTGTGTCCATGGCCTGGCGAGACCCCTCACATGACCCTGTGCCGTGACAGGACCTGCTGACCTTCGCCGACGTGGCTGTGAGCTTCACTGGGGAGGAGTGGCGGCTCCTGGCCCCCGCCCAGAAGGCCCTGTACCGGGAGGTGATGCAGGAGACCTACAGCCACCTGGTGTCCCTGGGTGAGGC